AGTTCCTTGCAAGCTGTTCTGATCGTGCTGTTGCTGAGGATTTAAATGAAGTCAGCAGTGGCATAGGAACCAGGAGCGAAAATCAGAATAAATGGCTGTGAGAGGCAGATAGCACCACAATAGGGAAAACACTAAGTTATTCGGTGGTCTCATAGTAAGGGAAAAACGAATGGAGCCTTAATCAGGGATACACTACAATATGTGAATAAATGAATAGAGTGTAGAAATTGAAATGAATGAACACTATCTTTTAGATATTTTACAATCAACTTGTTCAGGGATCGTATTATTCATGCCAAACTGACCCAGGTCAGTCTCTGTCACCTCAGGACTAGTGTCAGTCTCTGAAAAGCCTTTACAAAGCAATAGGGAATTCTGCCCTCTGGCCTGGATGGTGTGGAGCTTTGAGTGTTTGTGGATGTCTCACAGTGGGTTATGAGGCCATTCGGCCCATTGTGCCTGCACCATGAGTGCCATGACTCAGCGCCAATCTGTTTCTTTTGCCAGGGGTAGTAGGAACTGCAGATGCTGGAGAATCTGAGATAACAAGGTGTAGAGTTGGATGAACACAGCAGGCCAAGCAGCATCAGAGGAGCAGGAAGGCTGACATTTCGGGCCTAGAAAAGTTTTTCTTCAGAAAAGTTTTCCTGCTCCTCTGATGCTGCTTGGCCTGCTGTGTTCATCCAGCTCTACACCTTGTTATCTCAGACTCTTTTGCCCTAATGTTGTTGGGAGTTTTGCTTATCCAGACAAGTGAGGAACATTCCATCAGACTCCTGACTTGTGTTTTATAAATGGTGTTTGTAACAATACTGAATTAGGTGCACCACATGAATATCAGATAAGCGGTCAAAGAGCCATCTCTAACCACATTAAAAATATGATTTCCGACAGCTCCCAATTTTGTAGCAATCAATACCTCAGACAACACTGCCCTCGTGTGGCCAAAATCAGCACATTACTGTGTACTGAGTCACTATCTCACTGCAGCATTGTCTGCGACTGCACTCTGTCCAACAGTCCCCAGTATGCAAACAAACCACCTCTCAGATGCAAGGTCACTGACCCAAACTTCTACAACCAGTGCAGAAATTTTACCTACATCAACTCCAAATTGCAGAACACTGTCCCTCAAATCAAAGCGTCAACCAATAAATTGAAATGAATGATCACTATCCTTTAGATATTTTACAATCAACTTGTTCAGGGATCTTATTATTCACCACAGGTACAGGTGAGACTTAAATTCAGATCTCCTGGCTCAAAGGTAGGGACACTACCAATGTGCCAAAATAGTCCAGATACTATCCTTTATCATGTATTCTCAATTGAGGTCCACATGTGATTATCCCAACATTCTTATCCATTTAGCCAAACAATTGAGAAACAGTAGGCAAATGGTTCATAACAAAAACAGCAGTTGCTGCAGAAACTCAGCAGGTCTGGCAGCACCTGTGGAGAGAGAAACAGAGTTTACATTTCAAGTCCAGTGACCATTCTTCAGAACTATTTTGTTTTGTTTCGCAAGTGCTTTGTTTGATTGTGCATTTAAATTCCTCAATATTGAAGAATTGTTAGGTTCAGTCCTTTAAGTTTAGAGATTGGGAAGTCATGTTGAGATTGTACAGGACATTGGTGAAGCCTCTTCTGGTGTAGTATCCAGTTCTGGTTGCCCAGTTATAGGAAGGATATTATCAAGCTGGAGAGGGTTCAGAAGAGATTTACCAGGATGTTGCCACGTAGGAAGGTTTGAGTTATAAAGAAAGTCTGGATAGGCTGGGACTTTTTTTTACTGGAGGTTGAGATGCAACATTATAGAGGTTTATAAAATAATGAGGAGTATAGATAGGGTTAATAGTAGGTGTCTTTTCCCCAGGATGAGGGATTTCAAGATTAGGCAACACATTTTTAAGGTGAAAGAAGAGAGATTTAAAAAAGACATAAGGCAATTTTTTTACACAGAAGGTGGTTCACGTGTGGAATGAACTTCCTGGGGAAGTGGTGGAAGCGGGTACGATTACAACATTTAAAAGGCATCCAGATGGATATATGAATAGGAAGGGTTCAGAGGGATATGGGCCAAACGTTGGCAAATGGGACTAAGTTAATTTAGGATATTTGGTCAGCATCAACAAGTTGGACTGAAGGGTCTGTTTCCATGCTGCACATTCCTATGCCTCTAAAGTTATCATTCATTAACAGTGTGGTAACTTTAACCAGTTTCACTTTCATCACTCTTTGCACCTGCATGGCATACATAGTTAAATTGTGCATTTCCCCTCCTGGTACATATCTGTGTTGGCACTAGCTGTTCCTTGGGTATCCACTGATTCCTAGGGTAGCGTGCCTTCTCCAATGGGTGTTGTTGCCATAGTAACTGCTGTTGCTGATCTATTTCTGCTGCAAGGGAACAGTGAACATCTGAAACGGTAGTCCCTACAAATGGTGAGATCATTTCTTCCTGATCTGCTGCCTACACTGAAGTGACAGCTTCTCTAATTGTACATGTGTCTATTGTTGCAATGGTAGATCTGGTCAGTCATGTTCACCACACATGATCAAGGTGATGACTTGTTCTACTGAGGTTTGAAGTTGCCATGTTGGCTGACTTTTTTTGAGCACGTTCAACATTTGCACTCTGATGGGCTTTCCAATGCTCAGCTGTAGCAATGACACAGCAGTTTTACTAAAATGAAATTTGGTTTTCTGATATTTAACCATGACTGCCTTGAGAACATTAGTTTCCTTGTTGACAGTCTGTTGTTGTTATACCTGGAATATGCCACAGTCTCACCAGTTCTCCTAATAATAGTCTTGCTAATGATTAACAAAGAGAGGTCATGGCATACTGATATGGTCACTAGACTAGTGATTCAGAGATCCACAGAATACTTGGAGGACCCAGGTACTAATCCCATCATGGTGTAGTTTAAACTTCTGTTAAAAAATCTAATGATGACCATGAAACCACTCTCTCAAAAACCCATCTGGTTCGCAAATGTCCTTTAGGGGAGGAAATCCAACATCCTTACCTGGTCTGGCCTACATGTAACTCCAGCCCACAGAAGTGTGGTTGACTCTGAACTGTCCTCTGAAATGGCAAGTGAAACATTCAGTTGCATCAAATGGCTAAAAAGGCTCAAAAAGGAATGAAACCTGATGGAAACTCTTGGTATCTGAAATGCCAATGGCAAAGTCATCCCTGTCAACACTGCAAAATGTCCTCCTCACTAACATCTGAGGGCCTGTGCCACAAAGGGAAGTGCTGTCTCACAGACTGGTCACATGACAGTCTGACATAGTCTGTAATATATGATTCCATGACTATGCTACTGTCCCACCGGCAGGACAAACCCAGCACAGTGGTATTCAGTCAGGAGGGAGTTGCCTGCAAGCCTTCAACATTGACTCCGGACCTCATGAAGTCTCATGGCATCAAGTCAAACCTGAGCATGGAAACCTCCTGCTGATTACCACGTACCATATTCCCTATGAATCAGTACCTACCATGTTGAACATCACTTGGAGGAAGCACTGAGGGTGACAAGCGTATAAAATGTACTCTGAGTGGGGAATTTCAATGTCCATCACCAAGACTGGCTCAGCAGCAGTTATACTGATCGAGCTGCTAGTCCACGGCAGGTGGTGAGGGAGCCAACAAGAGGGAAAAACATATTTGATCTCATCCTCACCAATCTGCCAGCTGCAGTTGCATCAGTCCATGACAGTATCGGTAAGAGTGACCACCGCACAGCCCTTGTGGAGACAATGTCCTACCTGCAAATTGAAGATATTCATAGAATCCCTAAAGGATGGGAACAGGCCCATCATATCCACACCAACCCACAAAAGAGCAGCCCACCCAGAGCCACCCCTCTAACCCTGCATTTCCCATGGCTAGCCCACCCAGCCTGCACATCCCTGGACACTATGGGCAATTTAGCATGGCCGATCCATCTAATCTGCACATCTTTGGATTTTGGGAGAAAACCTATACAGACACAGGGAGAATGTGCAAACTCCACACTCACTGTTGCCCAAGGTTGGAATCAAACCCTGGTGCTCTGAGGCAGCAGTTATAACCACCGAGTCACTGTGATGCCCTATTGCAGGTTGTGTGTGAATTGGTTAGTTCAGCTGGTGGGAGAGTGATGCCAGTAACGTGGATTCAATTCCTGCACTGGCTGACGTTACACGAAGGACTCTGCTTCTCTCCTCCCCTGAGCCTCAGGTTAAACCATCACTGGTTCTCTCTCTCTCTCTCTCTCTAGTGAGACAATAGTGACTTTACCTTTACGCTTCTGTTGTGGTATTGCCACTGTGCTGAAGGGGACAGACTTCAAACAGACTGACTAACTGAAAACTGGATACTCACTTTAACACTCTCTCTCTCTCCACAGACACTGCCAAATCAGTTGAGTTTCTTCTGCATTCCCTGTTGGTGTTATAAATTCTTCCATATTAGCCTGGTTATCCTTCCCTAAAACCCAGCACCTCAAACACAGACACACTTTTGGACACCTCCCCCTGGATGTCGCTGTGTAAATTGTCAGGATTGACTCGAAATAATTCACAGCGTTTCTGGAGAAATCGTTTGCAGATTTTTTTTTGGCAAAATGATAGTTGCAACGAGCAGGATGTGAACAGAGCAAAGCATCGCAGATACTGTGTGAACTGTGAAAACAAACAACAGCAAACTAAATCCAGGCAAAACACACCCAGCTTAGCAGCCTATTACATCTTATTGAAAGAAAGTTCATTGCATTGAGACCTGCCTCCTCTACAGCAAGGACCCGACTTTAGGTAGCCTTAAATTGTGCTTAAAAGCAAAAGCAAAACAGCCAAAATGCAGCCAGGCAAGCAAATCTCACGCGTGTAATTCAGCGCCTGTAATTAAATCTTGTAATGGGTCGTTTCTCCCTGCCTCTTGTTATTTTTTTAATTATCACTGTGCTGCCTTACCTATTGCTGCTTTAACACCGGCTTTCATTCCTGCCACCTTGCAAGGTCTTGGGTTTTAGAGAGCGTGTTTACAGAGAGAGTGGGACTGGGCAGTTTGCTGTCACACTGTACGGAGTCTGTAATCAGGTTGGTGTGTTCAATACCCGATCTAGCCGTCATCGTTGTCAAATGGTACGTTATTTCAGTGCAATTAATTCTCCGCCTTATTTAGATTTTTGAAAATTGTTTGGGGTTGGATTTAGGTCTCCGAACAAAAGCAATTTTTTCAAGAAATGTGTCGATTAAATGTAAAATCGGTCATTTATTTTTAAAACCCAATTTTTTTTTTCTAGTTGGCCCCGTGATTAAATCAATGTTTTGGAAAGGAATTTATGTGTGGCGTTAGTGTTCATTGAAGAGGTGAGCTGTAATTTGAGACTGGGTTTGGAAATGAACGTTTTTCAGTGTTTTGTGTGTGTGTGTGTGTGTTTGGAGCGGCACTATTTATTGATTTGTTTGAAAGGACAGACTGTGCGGGATGTTCACTGAACGTGGGAGTAGCAGTGAGGGTGATGGGTTGCTTGTCAATGTCTCTGTGATTTCCCAGGAGCGATTCTCTCTGGTCGTTACAGACATTGCTGGTTTCTTCCTACAGCAGAAGTTAAGAGGGCAATGACCAGGGAAACGGGACCTGTCTCTTGTTTGTTTTAGTCAAACGTTAATGAGACTCAAATGTTCGCGTTCCTTGGTTGCCCCAAAGTTTCAGACCCCACAGAATAAGGGGACTGGAGTTGGCGCGATATTTGCAAACTAACTGATTCAATAAAACTACTTCGTTCGACAGCTGGAGGCTGGGGCGCTTGATTGGGGTGGGGTCCACACTGTTTGAGAGCTGTGTACTCAAATGATAGAATATTACTTGGGCCAGACTGTGGTGCAGTGGTAGTGACACTATCTCGGAGCCAGGAGGTCTAGCTTGAAGACCCACTTGCTCAAGTTGTGTCACAACATACCTGAACAAGTTGATGAGGAAAAATATAGAATGATACCCGGACTTCAGGAGTTGTTATAAAAACAGATTAAACAAATTTATGTCTGTTTTTCTCCAAAATTTAGAAAGTTATGGTTGATCTGATCAAGGTCTTCAAGATATTAACAGGAAAAGACTAGGTAGATAAAGATAAACTATTTCAATTAGTTGGAGATTTCGAACTAGGGCATAGTCTGAGAATTAGGGCCAGAGGGTTCAGGAGAAATGTCAGGAAGCACTTCTACACACAGAGTGGTAAATGTTTTGAACTGTTCTAAGATTAATCTAAGGTATGAAGGGATATGGGCTAACGGCAGCTATATGGAGTTAGACCACAAATCAATGGCAGAACAGGCTCGAGAGGCTAAATGGCCTGCTCTTGTTTCTATGTTCACTGTTTAATCCCAGCCAGATCAATCCCCTTCCACATGTTGGCCTGAGACAAAATGAAGCCTTTACCTGCAAGAATTTTCAAAAACTTGACACATCAACAGACATAGGATGACCAATTTACAGACAGAAAGCTCCTGTATACACTAAGGCAATAATGAGATAACAAAGTCACTTCATTTGGTCAGTCCCATTTGAACAGCACTCACAATTCCCACAAATAAAGTTTGTACAGTTTTCTACCCAGCAATCTGTTTGTAATCTATTTCTCATTAACACACTGGCCCTCAACTTTTAGCTCACCATTCTCTCTCTCATCACCTCCTCTCCCTGTTCGGTTTCAGTCTGACCTCAGTACAGGATGAGCAGAAATTTAGATCTTTATAGAAGTTTTCAAGATTGTGAAAAGTCTTTATAGAATAGATAGGGAGAACCCAATCCCATTCTCAAAAGCATCAGGAACAAGAGGACAAAGATTTAAAGTAATTTGCAAAAGGTTCGAATCCTGCCATGGCAGATGGTAGAATTTGAATTCAGTAAAAATATAGAATTAAGAGTCTGATGATGACCATGAATCTTTTGTCCATTGTCAGCAAAACCCAGCTGGTTCACTAATGTCCTTCAGGGAAGGGAGTCTGCCATCCTTACCTGGTCTGGCCTACATGTGACTCCAAACTTACTCTGGGCAATTACTTAGGCAGCAGATGTTAGTACAGCCAGCAACGTTTCTGAAGAAGGGTCCTGACCTGAAACGTCAGCTTTCCTGCTCCTCTGATGCTACCTGGCCTGCTGTGTTCCTCCAGCTCCACACTGTGTTATCTCAGACTCCAGCATCGGCAGTTCTTACTGTCTCTTAAAATAATACGTTTGTTGTATTTGCACCTCAAAAAACAGATCATTCAGCCAATATATGCTCATACCCGTGTTGTTCCTTCACATCAGTATGTATAAACGTTTTTAAAAGTATAGAATATTTCATCAAAGTTAAGAAATTTGACATTCCACAAGCATGCAATTAATCTTTTCAGGGTTTGTAAAGGTGTTTACAGTGTGAATGATTTTATTGTCACGTATTTTAGCAAAATACAGTGAAATGTGTTTTGTCCCTGCAATCCATCACCGTTTTTGATTACAAAATGAATAAAAAGAAATTACTTAACTAGAGCTTCATCTGTTCAATTCACAGAAAAATGTAAAGGCAGAAAAATTAATTAATTAATGTTCAAATTACAGTCGTTCTTTTGTCAAGTATGGCTCTGGGTTTTTTTTTAAGGTTTCCAGGGTTTCAATAATGTGTCCCGGTCTCTGGGCCATAATGAGTCCCTGTTCTGGGTCCAGCCGGTAACCCAGAGTACAAGTCTCCGCTGCCGCCGACTCACCAACATCGCCAGGAGTCCCGGTCCGGGTCTACCGTAACCACGAGCCAGCTCTACAGCTGCCACTTTGCCACTTTCACCATGAATCCCACTCCATTAATTATTGTTCAACAAAAAAAAAATACCCTGGTTGCACCTAATGCAGCAAGGTGTAACTGTTTAAAGGTTTTTCTTTACAGTTAAAGTTCTTGTCAATTCAACTGATTCTGAACCTCAGCAGAACATCCTCTGAAGAAGCGCGGCAGATTTCACTGTAGATGTCTACATTATTCTGCTCATCTGCAGATTCCTCAAGTTGCTGTCAGCTTCAGTGGAGAAATTGCAATGCACTTGGACACTTTCTGTCATTTCAGGCTGACATGTTCAACCACACCGCAGACTCCATGGCAACAGTCTGAGGCTGATTTTGCAACCCACCTGAACCCCAGATGACCTGGCATTAAAAGTGCGGATCAAATCAAGGACCTTCCTCTTCATCTAACGGTCTTCCTCATTCACTGCCTCTCTAAAATCGAATTCCACCCACAATAGGTAGCCAGTAGTTTGCACAATGCAAATGCTAAAGTAAGCAGCAGTTGTGAGGATCCCAGTAAAGTAGCATTCAGCTTCCTATTGTGATGTTAACAGTTTACAGTATAGCAATTTGATCAAGCAATCATCCAGGAGTTGTGGCCCTGTTATTACCCACATGCAACCTCTTGGAATTGGTAAAGGAACTGTCAAATGGCTACTTTTTCTGTAGAGTGTTAACATAGAAACATAGAAGATATGTGCAGGAGGAGGCCATTCAGCCTTTCAAGCCTGCTCTGCCATTCATCGCGATCATGGCTGACCGTCCAATGCAATAGCCTAATCCAGCTTTCTCCCCATAACCTTTAATCCCATTCACCCCAAGTGCTATACCTAGTTGCCTCTGGAATACATTCAATGTTTTGGTATCAACTGCTTCCACAGGCTCACCACTCTTTGGGTGAAGAAATGTCTTTTCATCTCTGTCCTAAATGGTCTACCCCGAATCGTCAGAATGTGACCCCTGGTTCTGGACAAACATATCATCGGGAACATCCTCCCTGCATCTACCCTGTTTGGTCCTGTTAGAATTTTATAAATCTCTACGAGATTCCCCCCCCCTCATTCATCTGAACCCCAGCAAAAACAATCCTAACCTTGTCAATTTCTCCTCATATGTCAGTCCCACCATCCTCAGGTTCAGCCTGGTAAACCTTCACTGCACTCCCTCAAGAGCAAGAGCATCCTTCCCAGGAAAAGGAGACTAAAACTGCACACAATATTTTAGATACGGCCTCACCAAGTCCCTGTATAACTGCAACAACACATTCCTGCTCCTGTACTCGAAACCTCTCACACTGAAGGCCAACATACCAAACAATCAGTGATTTAAGGTGTACTTTGTTTAATGAACTGCTCAGGACAGTGGCTGGTTGTGCATTGATCTTGACATTCTAAGTGAAAATTAGACCCAGACAGCAATGTAAATATGCATAAAGAGAGAATTTACCATAGCTTTCATGGTCTCAGAACATTGCAAAATATCTCTTTGTCAGTACGGCAGCTAATTTTCACTCAGCAAGCTGCCACAATCAACAGTGATTTATTTTAAATTAGTTCATGGGATGTGCACGTTGTTGGCTAGGTCAGTTTTTCCTCTTTCCTTATTGCCCAAAGGGCTGTTAAGAGTTAACTACATGGTGTCATAGAATCATACAGCAGGGAAACAGACGCTTTGGTCCAACTTATCCATGCGAATCAGGTTTCCCAAACTGGACTAGTTCCGTTTGCATGTGTTTGCCCAATATCCATCTAAACCTTTCCTATTCATGGTACCTCCCCAAATGTCTTTTAAATGTTGTAACTGTACCTGCATCTACCACTTCCCCTGGCAGTTCATTCCATACACGCAGCGCCCTCTATGCGGAAAAAGTTGCTCCTCACGTTTCTATTAAATCTTTCCCCTCTCACTTTAAACCTGTGCCCTCTAGTTTTGAACTCCCCCAATCTAGGAATAAGACCTTTACTATGCCCCTCATATATGCCCCTCATGATTTTATCAACCGCTAGAAGCCTATCCAGCCTCTCCTTATAACCCAAACCCTCTAGTCCTGTTAACATTCTTGTAAATCTTTTCTGTATCCTTTCCAATTTAATGATATCCTTCCTATAGCAGGGTGACAAGAACTGTACACAATATTCCAAAAGTGGCCCCACTAATGTCCTGTACAACTGCGACATGAAATCCCAACTCCTATACTCAATGCTCTGGACTGTTAATCCAGAGACCAGACAACATTCTGGGGACTCTGTTCAAATCACACCATGGCAGATGATGGAATTTGAATTCAATAAATAGCTGGAATTAAGAATTTAATGATGACTGTGAATCCATTGTTGATTGTCAGGAAAAACTCATCTGGTTCACTAATGTCCTTTAGGGAAGGAAACTGCCATCCTTACCTGGCCTGGCCTGCATGTGCCTCCAGACCCACAGCAATATCGTTGACTTTTAACTACCCTCTGAGCAATTAGGGATGGGCAATAACTGCTGCCTGGCCAGCAACGGCCTCATCCCGTGAATGAATAAAGGAATTAAGGCACATGCCAAATGCCTTCTTCACCGCCTTGTCCATCTGTGAGACCACTTTCAAGGAACTATGTACCTGAACCCCCAGGTCTCTCTGTTCAACAAAACTCCCCTGGGCCTGACCATTAACTATGTTAGTCCTGCGCTGGTTTGTCTTACCAAAATGCAACATCTCGCATTTATCTAACTTAAACTTCATCTGCCACTCCTCAGCCCATTGGCCCAGCTGATCCAGATCCCATTGTACTCTTAGATAACCTTCTCCACTGACCACTATACCACAAATTTTGGTGTTATCCCCAAACTTACTAACCATGCTTCCTGTATTCTCATACAAAAACACTTATATAAATGACAAACAACAGTGGACCCAGTACTAATCCCTGCACATCATTGCTGGTCACAGGCTTCCCGTCCGAATAAACACCTCTACCATACCTTGCAATTTGCCTACCAACACAACAGGTCCACAGCAGACACCATCTCCCTGGCCCTACATTCATCCCTGGAACATCTGGACAAGAAGGATACCTACATCAGGCTCCTACTTATTGACTACAGCTCCACCTTCAACACCATAATTCCAAACAAACTCATCTCCAAACTCTGGGATGTAGGTCTCCGCTCCCCTCTCTGTAACTGGATTTTTGACTTCCTGACCAACAGATCACAGTCAAGTAAGAATCGGCAACAAAGCCTCCTCCACGATAATCCTTGACACCACTGCCCCACACGGTTGCATACTCAGTCCCCTACTATACTCCTTATACACTCACAACTGTGTGGCACCCTCCATTTACAAGTTTGCTGACAATACCACTGCTGTAGGTCAGATCACAAACAATGATGAGACAGAATACAGGAAAGAGCTTGAGTGCTTAGCAGCATGGTGTAAAGACGACAATCTCTCCATCAACATCAGCAAAATGAAGGAGCTGGTCATTGATTTCAGGAAGTGGAGTGAAGGGCACACCCCTGACTGATCAATGGTGCTGAGGTGGAGATGGTCGAGAATGTCAGGTTCCTGGGAGTTACGATCACCAGCAATCTGTCCTGGTCCACCCATGTTGAAACTACAGGCAAGAAAGTGCTACAATGCCTCTGCTTCCTCGGGAGGCTTATGAAATTCAGCATGTCCATAAGGACGAATTTTTATCGATGCACCATAGAAAGCATCCTATCTGGACGCATCACAGTGTGGTATGGCAACTGCTCTTCCCAAGACCGCAAGAAACTACAGAGAGCTGTGAACACAGCCCAGTCCATCATGCAAACCAGCCTTCCATCCATTGACTCCCTCTGTACTTCCCGCTGCATTCAGAAAGTGACCAATAATCAAAGAGCCCTCCCACCCCAGTTATACTCTCTTTCACCCCCTTACGTCAGACAGAAGATATTAAAATTTGAATACACGTATGAACAAATTCAAGAATAGCTTCTTCCCTACTGTTATCAAACTTTTGAACTGACCTCTTAAATGTTAATGTTGATTTCTCTCTCTGCAGCTGTAACACTGTATTCTGCACTCTGTTCTGTTACCCTGATGACTTTCCATATTTCTTCATTTTTGTGCCTTTATATTCTATGTTTTGGTTTCCGTTTCTGCATTTTAAGATGGTGCCGGGGAGTGATGACACTATACGACACTGCTGTATTTTGTAACAAGATATATGTGACAATAAATAAATCAAATAAATCGCTTGTAAAGTATGATCTGCCTGTAAAGTACAGAAGACAAAACTTATCATTGCATCTCAATACACATGATAATAATACATCAAATCAAATCACCCTTTGTTTCCTACCATCAAGCCAATTTTGTACCCAGTTGGCTCGCTCTCCCTGGATCCCAGGTGATCTAACTTTACTAAACAGTTTACCATGTGGAACCTTGTCAAAGGCCTTGCTTAAGTCCATGCAGACAACACCTACCATTCTGCCCACATCTATCTTCTCGGTCACATCCTCAAAAAACTCGATCAAGTTTGTGAGACACGATTCACGTGTAGACCAGACCAAGTAAGGACATCAGATTTCCTTCTGTAAAGGACATTAGTGAACCAGATGAGCTTTTACAACAATCAGCAGTGGATATATGTTCATCATTAAACTTACCTTTTATGACAGACTTTTTTTTCTTAATAACTAGGTGGAGAGGTAAGATACGACACTGAGGTAAACACTACTGGTGGATTAAATGTTTGGTCAATGTTCTGCAAGTAAACAAGGCAGACAGGAGTTGTTTTAATACAGGGTGTCCCCGATTTATTAACACACATATTAACAAACACGATCCCACACGGGGGATAGTTTTAAAGATCTGACTTACAAACATTTCCTCGTCCTTCCAAATGGCTATTTTATATTGTCATGCATTGCGTACCAACTTGCGTACAAACCAACCTTGTGAAATGACTCAAACAAAGACCATTTGCAACCCGGGTACAGTCTGTACTGATGATACTGGAATCTAAAGACTTATTTTTCGCTTGATAGGCAGGAAAAGCACACAGGCTGAGTGCTGAACAACGAGAGCAACTTCTTCCCAACCTCCAAGCAGTCGGTTGGTCTGATGTCGAAGGAAGAGATGCCATTTATAAAGAGTTTATCTTTAAAAACTTTAACCAGGTTAGAATCTCCAGTGGCTCTATTGTACAAAATTTTAAAAAAGAAAATAGACAAAATGCATGGATATTCTGCAGCAAATCTATATTTTCTATATTTTGTTTTACCAATAGGCTTTTGGATTCATGACACGAGTGGCACTACAAGCAGAAAAAATGGATCATCACCCAGAGTGGTTCAACGTTTATAACAAGGTAAGAACCTGCAATTATATAGCACCTTTCAAAACCGTGGAGCATACCAAATGCTTTGGAGGCAAGACCTTTAGCAAGGTCACTGTGATGTAGCAATCACAGAAAGCTCCCACAAACAGAAGGTAATAATACTGGATTTGTATATAATTTGTAATAATTTGTTCCCATGATGTTGGAGTGTGAAAGAACCTGGGATAATGCCCCCTTTTTTATATTGCAAAAATATACTTTATTCATAAATAGGAAATTTTTATGTACGGTAATAAAACCATTCAGATGTATACCATCTTTACTTACAGAGAAGAAAACAAACATTAGGTTATGGCTTTTTCTATACTTAAAACTAATCCATAGGCAGTTATCTGAGGCACTGAGAGGGTCCAATAACTAAACGGACCCCCATTGAACTTTGGCAGAAAGACGTTAGGTGGTCTTTCCCCACTGCACCTGGGCACACAATACCCCTATTCATCTTCAAAATAGTATCTCAAGATCTTTTGCTTTCAACTAAGAATGCTTATGGGGCCTCTGATAATGTATCATTTGAAAGACACCACTTCTGACTGTGTAGTATTGCACTCGGAGCTCAAGCCGAGATTTTATGCTCAGGTTTCTGCAGTGGGATATGAATCTACAACCTTCATACTCCAAGGTGGAAGTCCCACCCACTGAGCTATGGATGACCCCCTCAGAATCCTAAGGATTTCACTGTTTAAATAAGATGTACGTGCAGTTACTATTGGCACTGTTTTTGTGCACTTTATGCACACTGATCGGTGAAGTCAATTTCCCTCCATGTCAGGAACAGTCCCAATTCTAACCTAACCCACCAAGCTGGAATGGGCATGTTTAGACCAGTTATCCAATATCATAGCATCTATTATCGTCAATGTGGGTGGCACAGTGGCTCAGCAGTCAGCCGTCAGCCGTAATCCCTTCCAGCGCCAGGGACCTGGGTTCAATTCCAGCCTCAGGTGACTGTGTGGAGTTTGCACATTCTCCCCATGTCTGCACGGGTTTCCTCCGGGTGCTCCAGTTTCCTCCCAGAATCCAAAGATGTGCAGGTTAGCTGGATAGGTCGTGCAAAATTGTCCATAGTGTCCAGGGATTTGCAGGCTGGGCGGGTTAGCCATGGGAAATGTAGGGTTATAGGAGTGGGGTAGGTAGTGTTTGGGTGAGATGCTGTTCGGAGGATCAGTGTGGATTTGGTGGGCTGAATGGCCTGCTTCCACCCAGTAGGGATTCTTTGACTTCACACTTTTGAAGGCAATTCACCCCAAGTCTTTGATTAGTGCACAGACTTGGTCGGAGCCTCTGAACTCTCTAAACTGGGAAAGACAAAGGGACAGCCGCCTTCTCACCAGAAACATTTTATTTTCCACAGGTCCACATAACACTGAGCACACACGACTGTGGAGGCTTGTCTGAGCGAGATATTAAGCTGGCTACCTTTATTGAAGAAGCTAAGGTTTCACATTGAAATCCGGGGGCATGTCTGTGGTTGCTGGTACCAAATGACCTGGAGTCTTCAGTGAGATTTATTTCAAAACAGAACTCGTACGCTCTGAAGACATTTTGAAGGCTGGCAAATGTCTGAAATTTACCACAGATTAAACTAGAATCATTATATTAAATTGGAATGATCAGAGCCAGTTTATGTGTTGCTGTATGAACGTACATACAGGTACTGAGAGGAAACGTTTTGTGCTATGTGAATAAAGTGCAAATCAATGTAGACATGACAAGGTTAAATTGTTCCCAAATTGTAAATACTTGGAAGACTAGACAGCAAATGCGGTGCTATACTACTGTCAGCAACACACTCAAATACAGAAGGTTAGGCAAACCCATTGTTTGGATTCTCTGTCTAAAATCCTCAGTGATAATCCCCAGCTTTGCATCCACCCTCACCATACAATTGTGAATGTGTGAATGATGCTGCCTTGACCAATTTGGCAACTGCTGGTATTGGTATCACAGCTTTCGTGTCTAAAACAACCTACTCATTATCAAGTTACCCAAGGAGCTGTTGGGACAGATTAATAAAAAGCTTGGTCAGAGTTAGAAACATCCTAAGTGGGGACAACAATAAGGGCTAGGGAGAGAGTTTGAGTTTAGGGCCCCAGTACCTGGTTAGACATCTCAATGTTGAAGTGAATAATTACCAGTCTTATGTTGCATTTTGAAGTCACAAGGTCAACAGTTCATCACACGTAAGCATATCAAAGCAAAATAGCATAGACGCTGCAAATATGAAACAAAGTCCAAATTGTTACTCTGAAAGAGGCCATTTGGCCACTGTGTCTGTGCTGACCCTCTGTAGGAACAGATTACGCAAGGTCACTTCCCCAAGTAACCCTGTAGATTTATACTTTTCAGGTAATAGTCCAATTCTCTAGTGAACGTCTTGATTGAACCTGCCTTCACCACACTACAGCGGCACTATCTGGATACTAACCATTCAGTGAATGAAGTATTTTTCCCTTTGTGTCACCGTTGTTTCTCAATTCTGTGTCCTTTTCTCAATCCATCTCTCACAGCGAACTGTTCCTCACTATCTCTTGTTATGAACACTTCTATCAAGTCTCCTCAATGAAGAGCAGTAATTTCTCCAAACTATCCCTGTAGATAAGGTTCCTCATCCCTCGGACATTTTAAGGGGAGGCAATGGCCTAGTGGGATACTATTAATCCAGGGACTCAGGTAATGTTCTAGGGAATTAGGTTTGAATCCCACCAAGATAGTTTGTGGCATTTGAATTCAATAAAAATCTGGAATTAGGATTCTGTCAAATGACGACCAAGAAGCCAGTGGCAGGGGAGGTGAGGACAACTGGTCACCAATGCCCTTCAGGGAAGGAAACTGCCGTCCTTTCCAGGTCTGCCCTACATTCACTCCAGACCCAAAGCAATGTGGTGTAACAAGCCACTCAGTTACAATAACCACTAGAAAGGAGGGAAAAAAAAAGGATTGTAAGCAGATGTGCTGACTAACATTAATTCAGGCATTGGGAATGATACCAGCAAAAATAGCCCAGTACGTGGGATTCCCACCACTGCAAGTTCCCGTCCAAACCACTCACCATCCTGACTTGGAAATGTATTGCCATTCCTTAAGCGTCACTGGGTCAAAATCCTGGAATTACTTCCATTGTGGGTCTACCTTCAGCACATGAACTGCAGCTGTTCAAGAAAGCAGCTCACCACCACTTTCTGAAGAGCAATTAAGGACAGGCAATGAATGCTGGCCTGCCTTGCCATGATATCCACACCCCATAAAAGAATAGAGAAATATAAGGTCTATGACCATTCATCACACCGAGTGATATTAGGGATGAACATGTTCATATCCCATGGTAGCAGATAGTGAAACTTCAGTGCATTAGAATCTTGAATTAAGCTAATCTAATTGTGACCACATAAGCACTATTGATTGTTGTAAAATCCCAACTGGTTCACAAATATATTTTAGGGAAGGATATCCACCATCCCTACCACACCTTATACTCCTTTTGAGCCCAATATATCCTTTCTAAAGCAGGTTTACAAGAATTATATCTAGACGCCTAGGGTTCAGTATGAGGAGAAATGATACAAATTAGGCCTGTTTTCTCTAGAATTTAGAAGATTTAAGGGATGCTATAATCGAAGTCTACATAATATTAACAGGAAAAGACAGGATAGATAAACTATTTCCACTAGTTGGGGATTCTAGAACTAGGGAGCATAGTCTTTAGAGTTAGGGCCAAACCATTGAGGAGAGAATATTGGGAAGCACTTTTACATACAAAGGGTGGTAGATGTTTTGAACTCACTTCCACAATGGCAGTGGATGCTGGATCAGTTCATAATTTTAAGTCAGATTTTTTTTTGGTTAAGCAAAGGTATTAAGTGATATGGGCCAAAGACAGCCATGATCTCATTGAATGATGGAACAAGCTCGAGGGGCTGAATGGCCTAGTCCTGTTCCTATGTACATGTAAGTCCATACCTACAGCAATGTAGTTGCCCTCTAAAATAGGCGAGAGAGCCAATCAGTTTGAGAACAAGAAACGCCCGCCTTGCCATGATATCCACACCCCATAAAAGAATAAAGAAATAAAAGATCTGTGACCATTCATCACACGGAGTGATATTAGGGATGAACAGGTCTGAAACAAGAGCAAAGATCAGGAAAAGGTCAGGAACAAGAATGAAACATGAAGATAAGAGTCAAACAATACAGACAGTTTCAACAAATTAGATTTATTACCAAATCTCAATTACAAATGTGTTAATACATAATACGATGAATTAATCCAGATCATTTTACACACTAGCCATGTAAAGATGCCCTTGTTGTCCAGATGCAAATGACCCAGACGTGGGAGCTTCACCCCCATCTCAGCCCTGAAACCCCACCTGAGGGCTAACTATAAACTTCACAACACACACAAGCTTTACCTGGAACAGTTCCAACAAGTAAACTAACAATGAAAATAGTGCCCTCGCCCTGGCTAACCATGCAGCCTAGTAAAGGTCTGTGATTTTCAAGTTACATCTGAGAAAAACCCAGTGCTGCACACAACTCTGAGAATGAAGAAATCGGGGAATGGGAGTGGGCAGAAACTCTTGGCCTACTGGAGCCTATTCGCCTGTGTAAACAAATCAAAGATCATCACTGGGTCTATTTTATCCTCCCCTGTTTGAAATGTGTGATGCAGAGGGCAATAAAAACAATTGTTTTCACGAATGGTATTGTGAACTCAACAAAAGCTCTTGTACCTTCTCATTGTGAGGAGAATATACAATAGGAGTAAGACCCAGTTATTCCTTCAGAGCCAACCGAAAGGTGATCATGGAACATCCTGACTCACACAAACAGAAATGGAGCAAATAGGATGGGTATGTACACTTGCAAAGACTGAAAAATGAGTGTTACCCAGGGCTGAGAGGGAACCTTGGGAAAGGCTAAATTTATGCTTTTTTTTAAAAAAAGGTAGAGGACCTATCAAAAGTCAGAAAATTGTGCACAAATCTTTCTGCAAATGTTGCAAGTTATTAAGACAATTTGAAATGCAGCCCTTTCACATTGTGACAGAATACTGTCTGCCTCTGGTTTAAAACTATGTTGAGCAGTGACAGCACAGTCCTGAACACGTTGCTTTAGTTTACCCAGTCTCAGTATAATACCTCTTTGCATTATTTGCAGAGGAACACATTAATTCTTTGAATGCTGTGCAAGATGGTGCAAAGAACAGTATTCGGGTATCTTGTTGAATTTTCTTTCCCTTTACCCTGAAAGAAGCTAGTAGCAAAGGGGAAGTCATGTGCAATCATTGGGAGTAGTCAGCAATAGTGCACAGTCAGCTGCTCCTCCCAAGTGGATGCCAATTTACAGTCTGGGACATTGCCAGCATGTCACAGTTCAAACTGAGAGGCCATTTCACAAAGATTCAAGCAGTGACAAGTTCATGTGTTTGGGTTCCCTGCATAAAGGGACTAACATTGTGACCACTAGTTTAATGGAACAGAAGAATAAAGGAAATATCAGCAACAAGAGCGTTCCACAGGCAACAGATTAGTTTGGGGTTGAGAGGTTTGGAATGTATTTTACTGATGCAGGACGACATTTACCGTTGTGTGTACTGAGAGCCAGGCTAACAAAGTGATTGTAGGCAAGGATCTCAGGATTAGTAGAAATCAGTATAGTTTTAAAGATAGTATTGAAGTACCGTTAAAATTTCAACATAATTATTCACAAGTGCTTCCTTGTAAAGTGTACACTGGTGTGAAACTTCTACACAAGAAAGGTTGCTAAATAAACACGTTACAGACATACAGCATTTCAAAGCATTACCAACTGCCACACATTCGGCTTCACTACAATGATGGAGCAACAAAATGTCTGAAACACTGTCATTTATATAACTGAAACACAAAGACAACAACACACGATTTGAAATTATTCAACCGTCTATTCCAATTATGGAGTGAGCACTTCAGCCCAAGAATTTCAACTTGAGTTTAATTAGCAGGCTGTCAAAGAAGCAATTTTTTTTAGACCATGCCTGTATCATAGTATCTGATTAATTTGAACATATCAGAATAGAACTACCTTACGAATAATTTTATTAATGCCTGCAAGTACTTTCCACAGCAGTACAAAAATTGGTCTCCTGTTTGTAAATGATTGTAATTGTGCCTAGTTTAGGTTCAAAACTGTCTTACTTTAACTGGGAGCAACTATACATGGCATTATTCTTTTGGAAATTACCTGAACTATTTTTGAGGTAGTGAATCCTCTCAGCATTCATCCTGAAATGGGACCAAAATATTGGGAATTTTGGGCAGAGGCTCAAAGATTGAGGCTTACGATTGATCAAGTTCAAGGGTCCAAAATCCCCTTCCCTTACCTCCTTGATCCACAAGATAACAGTCATTTTAAGTCTCAATTTTCCATTGCTGAATCACCGACAATTCAGGTATGCAATCGGATAGGGCAGGAAAGTGATCAGCTGCCAGGACTAAATTGAACTTCACTGCTATATTTTATGGTGGATTTGCCACCTGTGTGATACAGGTGGGCTGCAAATAATGACCACCCTCTCCCTGGCGACAGTGATAAATAGTCCAGCAAATACATGAACTGTTTTGTTTCCTTTGAGAAAAACTCTGCCAAAAAACCCTTAAGAATAAAGTGGGAAGGCATCGAGGTGAATTGCCACTTGCTGCTAAATCTCCAGTGAATCAATGCCTAGGAAAACTCTACATACAATTTACTGGAAACTTTGCTGAGAAATCATTTGAATTTTTTTTTTAAGAAAAGGTTTCAACCTCACGTTTGTGAAGTATAAAGGATTCCAGGTGAAAGATACAATTTTAGAGATAAAAATTGAAAAGAGGAAAGGTTTTGGGGCTTTGAAAGTGGTGTAAAAATCATAGACATCAGTTCCCAGAGCATCTGATTGCATTTTCCCATATTCCCATTGAAGTTGCAACACAATAAAAAAAAAATCAAAGAAGGGAACTGGATTCTCAACACCTCAGACCTGTCAAATTCCTTTCCAAAGTAACTTCCTACAATCCATTCCATGATTTCTTTTTTAAAAGCCTATTTCCATGTGTTTCAATGCTGTGATGAGGCTCCATTCATGTAGTTTTTCTCAACTTTGGGGAGCTCAGTGCTGTACAGACAGTCTAGGAAACCGTGCGATATTTCCGTCACTAGGGTACGATCAGGAATTGACTGTGCCATGCCATATATAGCACCCTAGAAAGAAAGGAGAGTTCAGATCAGGACACATCTTACACATGACACAGTCAAGATAACTTATCCACTGAGGTGGGTCTACAATGAGTTTGATTGATAGTCCAACCTAGTATCCCTAACAAATTACAATGAAATACCACATATTGATATAACTTGCATGTGTACAGCACTTTCAAAGCAGTAAAAAGCTCAGGTGCAATTACCAAACAAAATGTGAGACTGAGTCATATAGGAGGTATTGGGTCAAAAGCTTGACCAAGGAGTAAGGCTTTAAGGAGGGTCATGAAGGAAGAACAAAATCGAGAGAGTGTCATGCAGGAAATTCCAGATCTTAACGCTCAGGCAAACTGAAGACAGAGCCACCAATGATGCTGCAATGAAAAGGAAGGGCACACAAGGGGTTAAAGTTGGAGGGACATTGGCCTGAAGGAGGGCTAGGCCTTGGAGGAATTCAAAATTAAGGGTGAGAATTTTAAAACTGAGGCTTTGCCAGACCAGGATCTGATTTGGGTCTGTGAGTACAGGGAGATGTGTGAACAGGACTTGGTGCAAGTAAAGATACGGGCAGCACATTTTGACAACTGTAAGGAAGCAATGCTGCATTTGCAATGTCCCATGCAGCTATCATCATAGAATGATAGAATCTGTACAGTGTGGAAGCAGGCCATTTGGCCCAAGGGGTCCACACTGCCTCTCCAAAGAGCATCCCACCTAGACCTAGACCCACACCCCCTACCCTATCCCTGTAACACTGCATTTCCCATGGCCAATCCACCTAACCTGCACATATTTGGACTGTGGGATGAAACTGAAGCACCCAGAGGAAACCCACAGGGAGAACGTGCAAATTCCACACAGACAGTCACCCAAGGCTGGACCCAGGTCCCTGGTGCCGTGAGGCAACAGTGCTAACCACTAAGTCACCATGCCGCCCACTAATTCATTGTCTTGTTCCCTTTGGAATTTGGCATCTGCCCTGAACAGTGCAGGGTGAAAAGCTCTGACCGCCTGTCTCTTTTTCAGCAATACTTATGTTAAAAGTATAATGCAATTATATATCATTGTTTGTGAACCGAGAATCTTCAGCAAAAAAAAACACACCCCTCCCTTCACCAGTCACAACCGTACACTCACCCTGCCAGTGGTTTTCTCGTCAGGATTCTTCATTATTTCAGCCACACTTTCACGGAGATCCTCAACAAATTGGTCAGCCACTCTATCCTTGGTGTGCAGAAGTGTCACACATATATGGATGCTGAAAGAGAAGAGGTAATCTTGAGTAATGGCACCATGGACACTCCTAGCTAGTTCTGGCCATCAATTTTCCATGCCCATTCCTATCAGTATTTCTACTGCTTAGCAAATAAGAAGACGGTAAGTCAAGATATTCTTATTTGTGCCAATATTACGGGCCTAATCATGAAAATGGCAATAACTGAAACTTTCTGAGGGGACTAATACAGTTCTCGAAAAAATGTTGGATTTATATCGTGGCTTTCATAAATATTTTAAAAATAACACGTCTGCATTACCAGAGAAACAAAGAGAAGTTAAAGCTCAGATGGACTATACACAGGATGAGTATCCTCAGGATGGAGTATACCTGGGGGAAGAGACTGCAGGGTTGGAGTTTACAGGGAGGGGGAGTTACAGTGTGAAATGAATTATACCTGTGGAAGAGTTTACAGTGTGCACAAGAGTATACATGGGGAGAGTGAAGTGTGAAATACACTTAGGCAAAATTACAGTGTGAAATGGAGTTAACACAGGAGAGTGACAATGTGAAATGAAATATACATAGGGAGCATGACTGCAGGGATGGAATATATATGAAAAGAGAGTCTGTGTGAAGTAGAGTAGACTCAGGGAAAGAAATGTGAAATGGAATATATGGGGAGAGAATAACTGTGTGAAACAGAGTACATGTGGGGAGAGTGACAGTGTGAAATGGAGTAAATGGAGACCATCACCCACCTCGAAGGGAACTGTAAAGTATTGAGGTTCCATCCTTTGGATGTCATTGCATTTGATAGACGGAAAATGTCAAAAATTTGAGAGCCAATGGCTACTACAGACACTTCAGGCTTTCCAAAGATGAAAATTTCTTTTATTTTCCTCAACCTTTAAAACAAAATACAGTACAGGAAATAATTTAGTACACACATAAAAGCCTGAGTCAACAACTTACATCGACACAAATCACACTAAAACACATTTAAACACACTAAAATGATCAGTAGCCTCTCTCAACAGTGGGTGAGGAAATCAGGAGATGGTGGAGGCCTTGGCAGAGGGAGAATGCAGAAATGTCAGTCAGAACAATGCTCACAAGTTGGACATGTTGGGAAACTACAAAATATTTCTCTTTTTATCTCCCCTCTCTTGCAAGCGATGCTCGAGTCAAACACAACTGGCACCATCCAGTAGCTCAAACTGTGGTCTCTAAACTTTCCCAGAAACAATTTTAAATCCACCACTTTTGTAAGAGGCTTTTTCAGGCCAAGAGTCAGTTTATTTGTTATGTAAAATTTATCATGTGTCAGTGACAGAACTTCACCATGAGATGGGGCAAGAGGACAGGAACTATCACTGTTAGCAAGTTTGCAAATGTCTGTATTTAGAGGTTTAAAGCAAGAACATTCCATGATTTTATGCAGAATCTTCTAACTGCCAAGACCTTACATCATCCAATGGATCCTTGCTGAAAGTGTTACAGAATAACATTTCCTTCAATTGAAGGGTGATGCAGCCTTCTTGCCTTAGAGTCAGAAGGTCCTAGTTCAAAGTCTGCTCCAGGTGAGTTTGAGTCCCCAGCAGCGCCTGCGTTCACTGCAGATTCATGGAGTTGACAGCAGAGATAAGTTTGGGCCCATTACAAGACCCGGCTGTATGGGTGAGGTGGGCCCAAAGTGGATCCATGGTGGTGGCGGAGTCGAGTTTGGGTCAGTGTAGTATCCAGCAACATCAGTGGCATCTGCATTGGCGAGGTCCAGTGAGGACTCATAGCAGCAGGTGCATCGGTGGAGGCCGATGAGTGGCAACTCGTGTTTCAACGGTGGCAGCACAGCAAAGGGGATTTGTGGCTGGCCACGAGGCCCACAGAGGAGCACTTAACAAGAAGGACTGTAAAGCTGAATACTATTTCTTTATTTCCTTATTTTTCTGCCTTTATATTCTATGTTTTTGTTTATTTTTCAGTGTTTTAACATGGCTCTGGAGAATGTTGACATTATACACTTTTCACTGTATTTTGTAACAATGTACACACAACAATAAATAAATTAAATAAATCAAATGTGATCCTATATCCAGGCTGACATTCCCAGAGCAATACTAGGAGACTGCAGAATTGATGGGGCTGCTGTCTTTCAGATGGGGAGTTAACTTGAGGCCCCACATTTGCCCCGAGGTGGGTGTTATGAGATCCCACAATATTATTTGGGTGAAATGCAGCGGAGTTCTCACTGGTGTCCTAGCCAATATTCCCTCTTACTTTTCCTGCTGCTGTAAGGATCTCTGAACTCAGGTCCATGTGGCTGCAGCCTCTGGAAGAGGGAACTATGTGACAGTATGCCAATCGACTTCACATAGTGTAGGTGGCTCAGTGGTTAACACTGCTGCCTCACAGCGCCAGACACCAGAGTTCGATTCCAGCCTTGGGCAACTATCTGTCTGGAGTTTCTCCTCATGTCTGCTTGGGTTTCCTCCAGGTGTTCCAGTTTCCTCCCACAGTCCAAAGATGTGCAGTTTAGTAGGATTGGCCTTGCTAAATTGCCCATGGTGTCCAGGGATGTGCAGGCTAGGTGAATTAGCCAGGGGAAATGCAAGGTTAGAGGGACAGGGTAGGCGTGTGTGTCTGTGTGGGATGCTCTTCGGAGGGGTGGTGTGGACTTGATGGGCCGAATTGCCTGCTTCCACATTGTAGGGATTCTATGATTCTATTATTCTACTTATCCTTCAATAAGTACCACTGAAGGACAAAGCAGCCCACTTGATTAGGCTCCCTTTCCTCCATCTTAAATATTCACCTCCTCCACCACTAGTGGCTGCAGAGTGCACCTTCTGCAAGATGCACAGCAGCACCTCAGAAGCATTTTCCAAACCGGTCACCACTTTGCCCCCACCCTGCCCCATGCAGAAAGACAAGGGCAGCAGATAGATGGGAATACTGCGAGCTGCAAGTTTCCCTCCAAGTCACCCACTATCTTGATTTGGGATTGCATCACTGTTCCCTCACTGTCACTGAATCAAAATCTTGGAATGCATGTGGAATTTATTGCCCATCCCCAGCTGCCCTTGAGAAGCTGGTGGCGAGCAGCTTTCTTGAACATCTGCAGTCCTTGGGGTGTAAGGTAGCACTGTGGATGTACCTTCACTAAATGGACTGCAGCAATTCAAGCAGACAGTTGATGAACACTTTATCAAGGGCAATTAAGGGTAGACAATAAATGCTGGCTCAACCAGAGAAGCCCACATTCCCTAAATTAATTTAAAAAAACAAACATCTACAGTGCCGTTAGGGAGGGAGTTCCAGGATTTTGACCCAGTGACACTGCAAGAACAGCGATATGTTTGCAAGTCAGGATGGTTAGTGGCTTGGAGGGCAACTTATAGGCAACAAGTAACCGCTGTTACAAATAACTTCACCTTGGTCAAAAAAAATCCTTCCTTTCTCCTGGGTCCAACTAAAATGCCAGACAATTTGAATTTGCTTTTCTACTCCACTCTGAAAATTTCAATAAAAGTCAAGCACAAAAGAAAAGCTCCAGAATAACCAAAGTTGCACTTCGCCTAAAAAACGTCATTGATCATACGGAACCTTGAAACTTCCAAGTAACTGGTTGAATCAGTAGGTGCAGAAATACTGCATTTAACCAACAGCTGAAAGTGAGGCTTTAAGAACAGAATGGATTGAGCAAAACTTAAAGTGCTCTGGACATTGTCAGCGCTTGGGAGAATGCATTCTTTGCTAAACTTGGTCACTGAAAGCTGTGCCTAAATTTTAAAATATTGGTGATGCTCACACTGTGATCTCATGAGAGGCAGGTCAATCTATCTCACTTGAGATTTATATTTTAGCTCTCTAAGTTTTGCACAGTTCCATTCAAGCCACTTAGCCCAAAGGCTTGTATTTACAGGGATTGGAGAATGTGTGGAACAGGGGGACAGTGCAGAACGATCATGTCAACAAGCTCAAGAGGTTGCTGGCCATCTTTCTGGTATTTAGAAGAGCTTCAGAGATACAAAGGATTATAATCAGTGCAGTATTTATTTTTCAAATTTCCAACCAATGAGGCAGATAGCAGTGATCCTGTACATTGCTATATTCATTAATGTGTGTCACTTATGGCTTAGCGTGCACTCCCATCTCACAATCAAAACGTTGTGTGTTCAAGTCCAACTCCAAGATCCAAATAAAAAATCCAGGCTGACAATCCAATGCTGTACTGATGGCAAGTCATACTGTCAAAGGTGTCGTATCCCCCAAACGAAGCCCCACCTTCTCTCTCAGGCAGACTTAAAAAGGCCAATGGCTGATTTTGAAGCAGAGCAAGTTTATCCCTTGTTTCCGGGCCAACATCAATCCCTCAATGAATACATGAAATAGATTAGCTGATCATTGACATATTACTATTGTGCAAAATAATCACTGCATTCTCCCATTATAAATTATAACAGCACGTTCTGAGGTTATGAAATTTTCTAAGTGCAAGCCTTTCTCTCCTTAGTTACAGACGAACTTTTCACTTGAAACAGAACTGGGCTCTAAAACTATTCAAACCAACATGAATCAATACAATGGATACAAGTACCTCCCAAGAGAATCCTTTCAAAACAAAAGCAACTGTCTGAAGAAAGAACAATTAACGTCTGTTGTTGGGAAATTTGAAGCAGCTGTAGAAAACTAGTTGAAGCAAAGCAACATCCTGCCCAATCTAATCAACACAACAGATTGTGTTCACACCCAGAACAGGGCTAACCAGCGCACCACCCACTCTTGCACTATAAAACAAAAATATGCCCCGTCTCTCATTCACAGACAACAGTTTCCATCAAATCCCTACTGAATTTTTTTGGAGTCAACACATTTGGACTACTGAGCACACATTCTTTGTTTTGACAGTCCAGGTTGAAATTATGGAAGCATTTCCTTCTAAAGTCCCATTAACCTAAGCCCTGTTTGTATGTTATTCCATTTGCACACAGTTCTCTAAATGGCTTTCTTTCAATCATCCCTCTCCAGTGAAAGTAGGGCTTTTTGTTTTTTTTACTTAAGAAGATCTTAGCAGTACATCATTCTTCACATTGTTTGTCAAAACACACAGGCTGAAGTACTGCTCATTATACAAAGGAGTAATGCAGGAACTAGTGCACTAATGAGCGAATATATTTCAATTCCTGTGAAGTACAGGGCTTTTATTTAAATAGAACACTGTTTATTTAGGATTATTCAGATTTCTTTGTGACTCTACACAGTAACCACAATACAGACCTCAAAAAAAAAAATTCCTGGTGAAACGTGCAGGACATGAGGGGCAGGCCGAACCCTTGAAGGCAACACACAAGGCTGTACAGTACCTTGAATTTCTGCATTTCGGTGGTATGACAAGTTGACACAAGGAGTACTGTGATTTTTCTGCACCTACAGTCAGGCGGTCATAGATTCAAGCCTTAGAGTACATACTCTAACTAACACTCCCATTGCAAGGCTGAGGGAGTACTGCACTGTCAGAGGAGCTGTGATCATAACGGAAGACTCAAAAGAATTCAAAAACGATCAGAAACAACTCTACATTCCTAGTTTACAGAGAAAATGCAATAATATGCATCAATATAACAAAATGTCCCAAGGATAATCAGACAAAAAAAATCTGCCCCAGAACCACATGAAAAGATGCAAAGGCAAGTGTCCAAAATTTCTGACCATTAAATAGGCAGAGACAGGCAGAGAGGTTTCAGGGCCTCAGCTCTGGAGATCAGGGGCTAGGCAGCGGAAACTAAACTGTCAATGGTGCAATGCCAGAAGTGGAAGTACGATTAGAACTGACAGAGCATGGAGATCCTGGAGCCTGGTGCAGCCAGAAAAGGCTACAACAATAGGGAGAGGCAAAAATATATCGAGCAAGGTTTCTCTCTGCCATCATTTCTCAGTGTGGTGCTTGCTAAGTACGGGATCAGGCACCGTTACCTGGAAACAGGAGAAGACCATTCAGCCCTGCCATGTCTGTTCCAGTCTTCATTTAGAACATAACTGATCCATACTTTAACATTTAAACCACGTTGGGTCCATAATCCTTTCATTTCACAAGTTCATAAAAATCAGCTGCACTTTGAAAGCTTTAGTTGTCTTCAGCATCCACAGATTTTTGGGGGAAAGAGGTTCTCCATGACTCCTTGCTCCCTTAGATCACCCCTAAATGGTTATGCTGTCATTTTAAGACATGTCCCTTAGTTCTCAATTCCGCCAGAGGTCATAATTTTTTAGTTTATCCCAACAAATCCTTTTAGCATTTTCACCAGCTCGTTTTTGATCTGTTAAACTCAAGGGAAAAAAATCCAAGCTGAAGCAAACCAGGACGAATAATTTAATCCTCTCAACTTTGGTATCATTATGGTGGATCTGTGCTGCACTCTTTCCAAAGCCAAAATCAGATGCTATGCCCAGAAATGAATGTAATTATTCCTGATAACAGGCTGACCAACAAAAAGACAGCATCAGGAAGTCAGCAATTGAGGAGAACATTGGCTGTAACACAGATAGAGAAACCTCACTGGAAGAAGCCAATGTGGTAAGTGCTTGCACTGAACCGGAACTCTACCCAATAGGGGATAATGATAATCAAAACTGCTTCATTCGTAATTTGCTCAGCAGCTTCTCTCTTAGTCACGAGTGACGAAAGTGCAGGTTGCACAATTTCATAGGAGCAGGAAAGTCGACGTTTCACATCCCCAACCCGAAACATCAACTTTCTTGCTCCTCTGATGCTGCCGGACCTGCTGTGTTCCTCCAGCTCCACACTGTATCGACTCTGACTTCCAGTATCTGCAGTTCTTGCTATCCCCTCTCAATTTCATGCTGACTTTCATTTGTCAATGCAAGTCTGAGAGGTCTGGACAAACATTGCAATGGCAGAGTTTAACTCATTAATACTCTGTAAAGAATCCATTTTAAACCTGATGTATTCAACAGCTAGAGTTGCATAATTTGTTCAGCCTGGTGATTGGCAATCGGAGAACTTTGGGGATGTAGGATGTAAGCTATTTTCTTGGCGGGTGCGAAACACACAATCAAACCTCTTCAGCTCTCTTTCATAAAGTTTGCCATAGCACATAAAGGAAATGCAACATCAACAATTAAAATATAATTTCTGGCAATTATGCATCCTTAATTTAGCTGACCCTGTCTGCCCTTTCAAGTGGTTGTAAAAGATCCCATGGCGGTATTTTGTGGAAGATTAGAAAGGTTCTGTCCAGTGTACTCGCTGATGTTTATCCCTCACCCAACACGTGATCACCAAAACAAATGATCTGGACATTATATATCACTGTTTGTGGGAGCTTGCTGCACACAAATTGGCTGCCACATTTCCTATATTTCAACATTGACCATGCTTCAGAAAGTATTTAATTGAGCTGCAAGGGACTTCAAGACGGCCTGGGGCGATGACATATACAGAAATGCAGGTCCTTCTTTCTCTTAACCTCTCGTTACAATCTAGATTTTGAGGGGCTCCATGTACAGTATACTCACTGTGCTTCAATGTGTCGTGCAGTATCAATGATCTTCTTCGTGGCCTTAATGTAACCGTCCTCGCCCATGTACATCATGGTGGCCCAGCAAGCAGCAATGATCCCCCCTGGTCTCGATCCAGCGATTGTGGGTGATGCATAGATCCCTCCCTGCCAGTCCGGAGCCACAAAGAACTGGTAGTGACGGTATTTCTTGTTGCTGTACAGGACAACCGAAGAACCTTTGGGAGCATAGCCGTACTGGGAGGAGGAAAACAAAGGGGAAGGGATGGAAATTTGTAGTTACAAAGCTTACAGTGAGGAAGTAACTGGAAGGATTAAGAGTTGCTTGATCAATTCCATGAACAGTTCAGCAGGTGGAGTTTCATTTAGATCTGGCCAGGTAATAAGGAGCTTGTGGGTAGATATCCAAAGATTAACACTTAGCACACACCTCTCACATATGCAACATGCAATAAACTAATCTGATGAGATTTGATATTCCATCTTCCACGTTGCACAATGTCCTTCTATTAAACCACTGGAAAGATCAAAACTTTCCTCTTCAGCCCCCACCTCTCCATATCCTGCCACATTCCCGTGTGGTTCATTTCATTCTCTTCCCTCGCCTTTGATTTAGGTCAGAGCAGACTATTCACAATCTATTCAACCCCAAGATGGTGCATCCAAGCCAATAGATCACAAAGGCTGCCTTTCACTCATCTCTAGTCAGCCACCCATGAAAGCCCTCCGTGATCCTCCACTCAATCAAAATCGCCACTGGCTGTACCCCACTCCTGCACCAAGCCTCACTCACATTTAGGCCGTACGTAATTCACTCTTCACTAGCGACCTACCTTGTGTGTGTCGGCAGAGATGCTCGTCACCCCCTTAACACGAAAGTCAAAGGGTGGCAGCGAGTAACCAGCTTTCTCCATGAAGACAATAAGAAAGCCCCCCAGACAAGCATCTACGTGTAAGGGGATATCATAATCCAGAGCCAGCTGAGGAGAGAGGGAGAAGAAATCATTCATTCATTGTAAATGATTAGGTAAATTCCAAAACATTTTAAACAAAGTAAGCACTACTTTACATGAATGTGGAAACAGCCTGTGCTGGTTCTTTGAAAGTCCTATTCCTCATAAACCTGCAAATTTCTCCTTTTAAGATGCATCTCCATTTTCCTTTCAAATACTATTATCAAGTTTCCTGCCACTGCTCTTTCAATAATGCATTCCAGACTGTAACAATTTAATTGGTTAAAAAAATTTAACGGCACCACTTCTTTCACCAACGATTTTAAATCTTTGGTGACTGACCCTCCTGCCAGTGGAAACAGTTTCTTATTCATCCTATCAAAAGCCTTCATTGATCTATATAATGGCAGGGCTTGGTTTGCAGCACACCACCCCAGTGAGATGTGACAAGCTTCCAATGTGCAGATCCTGTGCAATAATGAGGTCAGGAAAATGCCTGGAGGAAATTCCCTTTAATAAACTCAAGACCTCCCAATCTCGGTAATACCACAATGGCTATGACACCAATTCCCCAAACATTGTGGAAATTAATAACTCCTCAAATGTAATTTCTCCTCATGATTACACTTGAAACATGAAAATTACATACAAACAAAAATTTTTAACATATTGTAATAAATGCTGAAAAGGCTTCCGGACTGGCACACCTTTTAAACAATTACAAAATAAGAGTGTGCTGCCTCAAATATTTTTCCTTTAACTACTGCTTTTTTTATTTAAACTGGACAGGAAAAAACAAGATTTGAGAGAGGTTCCCATCTTCTGTCTTCACAAAAATGTTTCAAACTTTGTCAAATAAAGCTTTTAATTCTCATTGTAATGACTCCACTGCAGCATTGTTTACAAAATGGACTTGGGAAGTACCTTGGCAACTTGCTCCACTGGGTCCATAATACCATGGGGAAACTGTGGCACCGAACAGACCAACATGACTGTGTTCCTCGAAATGGCTTTCTTCATGGCCTGCAGACAGAGTTAAAGTCAAGATAGCTTCAGGAACCTTGATGACTAATTTCCAACAACATAGGTGGAGATACGATGATGTGCTGGTAATGTAACTGGAATAATGTTCTGGGGACATGGATTCAAATATCATCATAACAGCTGGTGGAATTTAAATTCAATTCACAAATCTGAATTAAAAGTTAGTTTCAGTAACAATGATCATGAAGCTATCATTGATTGTCATTTAAAAAAACTCATTTGATTTACTATTGCCCTTTATGGAGGGAAATCTGACATCCTTTTCTGGTTTGGCCTACATGTGACTCAGGAGCCACAGCAATATGATTCACTGTGTCATGTCCTCCAATTGCAAAGCATGCCACTCCGTTCAGGGGCAGTTAGGAATAGACAATATATACTCGCTTTGCCAGTGACAACCACAACTAATGAAATAATAAAAAACAAAAACTTCTAATATGGGATACCTGCATTACTAACCACAGGTTTCATTTGTTAAACAACAACTTGCATTTATATAGCAGCTAGGACATCGTGAAAGCATCCCTAGTCCTTTGACAGGCTCAACATAATACAATCAGAGGACACTTAATCAAAAAACATCTGGTCAAAGAGGAAGGCTTTCTTGAAAAGACAGTGAGGCAGAGGTTTTGGGAGGGAATTCCAGGAATCCTAATAAATCAATCAATCAACCCCCAGTTAGGATGGCTGTGGATTCAAGAAATGAAAACAGGTTTACGGACCATACAAAGAAAAAAGGGATTGTGAAAATAGGTTGATAGTTTGCCAGAACAGAATGGTGAATGGTGGGACTTTTTTAGGGGTGGTGGTCAACAGGAACATTCCTTGAGGAGAGAAACCAATTAACAATATTGGCTAGAATGGGGACCAGCAGGTGAAGCTGCATGTTCAACAGTTTAGGAGGCAGTTGGGGTGAGGGGTCTAAGGTGGGTAAGGGGTGCAACTTATGGACACATACAATTCACAGACAGGATAAAGATTTAACTAGAAAAGGATTCAAGTTCAAGGATAGGGGCAGAGGAAATGTGGGGAGGAGGTTGGCTCAAATAAATAAGAAAGTGCTGGAGAAACTCAGCAGGTCTGACAGCATAGATACATAAGCAGAGTTAATGCCCTGAGTTCAATGTGCTCTTCTTCAGAAATCAAAGCACTAGAAAATAATGCTTATGTTTGCTGTTGACAAACCGGGAGGAGCAATAAGTGGAGCAGATGGTAAGAGTACCCAGAGCTAAAGGTAAAGGGAGCACTCATGGTGGTACAGGATAACGGCAGAATAGATGTTAATGGTAGGTGTGAAGAACAGAAAATAGGTCAGCTGAGCTGAGAGCAAACCCATGCAAGCAAGACACTGGTGGAGGGGTCAGTACGCAAGGAAAATACGGTAAATAGATGGTGTCAATCAAAATGAATAAGGACCCCTTATTGCTTCTTTCACTTGTTACTGTAGATTAACATAGGTGAGATGCTTCTAAAGAAATATTTGACAATGGACAGTATCACTATTGCTTTGAATAAAGCAACGAGCTGTTTCGGTCGAGGGCAGTGAAGACCGAGAACATGGCTATATCGTTCAGCCAGACACAGTGGAGAATGGCAGAACCAAACTGACAAAAAAAAAACTGACCACACAAAACTCTGTGATTTGTAGCCTCAGTGTATAAATATGGTGTGCCCTGCTTATAAAAGGCACATCAATGGATGAAACTACAATTCAGTATGCAAATACGACCCAATGTGTAATTAGCCAGGCAATTTGCATTCAAGAGAAGCTCTCAACCAGACTGCACTACAGGGTGTGGCATATTTGCCCTTATTTATATTTGTATTTTTATATTTATATAATGCTTTTCTTTATTCTTTCATGGGATGTGGGCTTCATTGGTAATATCAGCATTTGTTTCCTTTCCCTAATTGATCTTGAGAAAGTGGTGGTAAGTTATTTTCATGCTTCACCTCCCTGAGGAGAATGATTCATACACATCCAAATTGGCAGGTCAACAACAGTATTAGAATGCAATAGATTTAAAGTCAATCACCCGGATCATATACTGCCTAAACAAATATCGAGGCAAATGTCATTTCAAACTATAGCCCATTAATATTAACCCTATGTCAATGATAATAAGTGTTAAGTATTTTTACAGCTTTTTTTTTTAAGGTTTCGATCTGACAGTTAGAACAGGACGCACATAAAGAATCCATATTGAACAACTGAGGCTATTTATCTTTGACTCATTGGCCTGACAGGAATCTGGACCAGTGTTAGGATACTCGGATATTTAAATAAAGAGTCTATGAGTTTAGGGTTGTTGGGAGATACTTTCTAAAGAGCAAATACCGAGTTTCATTTTCTAAATAACAGAATAAGTTGTTACCCAACTGTATAAGGACAAGAAAGATGGACCAAATAGCCTCTTTGTCCCCTTTCTCTTTTGATGCTTCTTTGATATAACAGTCACCAGATTTTCCCAGATTTTGTCTGCGTGGGGAATGCCTGTAAAAACTGACTACCTCTTCCCTAGGTATTCCTGTTCATTTCTGAAAGGTCAGACTGCTTCAGCTTAGCACCCTTGTTATACATCAGTGCTGATGATACCTTTTCTCCATCATTTTAAGAAATGCCTAAACTGGGGCCCCAGATCCTGACAATCCAGAAACAAAGCTCCAGGCAATCCAGCTCTATTTATACATGTATTTCTGACTCACTCCCTTTTCCAGTTTCAGAGTTTTAGCATTGACTGTTCTCTCCCCTTCCCTCCTCCAAGGTGTCAACTCCCCTTTGTGATACTACGCTACAGGCCAGCCTAAGGCACCGGGTCCAAACAGCACATGGGTCTCTTTGGCTATTTGACTGCAAAATGCAACACACAATCCTTTACTCAACATACACATGCAGCCATTTCTTTCATGGGTTACTTATTACCAATGAGAAGTGAAAACAGCAAATAGGACTATGGACATATCACCCACTGAATCACAAGATTTAACTGTTTCACTATTTCAATTGAGCCACAATGATGAAACACAAAGCCTCAAGGCAAATAGTGCAGTAGTCTCATTTTTGAAAAAAATAGGAACCACGAACAAAGCCACAAAGTAATTATCTCCATCATTCTAGTGTTTTAATATAGGACCTTTATAATTGATCTTTCCATGCTGAAGGACGGGCACTGAAGACCAGGACACCAGGTGATAAACATTGTATTCCACGCAGATATTCCACTTTGTCTATCCACACCAATCATTTGCATAAGCAATACAGTCATAAATCTAAATTTCAAGAACAATGTATCCATAAAACAGTGTTTGTAATTGCAATTTCACAGGCAGGTAAACTTCTCAGGCACCTACCTTCACGTCTACTTGCATTGATCTTTTGTCCAATTCTACATGTACTATTTTCATCCCAAAATACTGAGCAGCCTTGTCAAAAGCGGCATGAGCACTTATGGGAGCAACACTGGCAAAAAAAAGAGACACAGGATTCAATGCTGGTGCTGACTGTTTTGGACAATGAGCTGAATGATGTAGTCCATACATTACGACTAATACCAACATTAATAGCAAATTGCCTGTAGTGTCCAGAGATGTGCAGGTTAGGTGGGTTAGCCATGGTAAATTATGGGGGTAGAGTGGGGGCTGGGCCTGGGGCAGGATGCTCGTCGGAGGGTTGGTGCAAACTCAATGGGCCGAATGGCTTCTTTTTGCACTGTAGGGATTCTACGATTATATGATTCTATATGCAGTGGTCTGTAAATCCGACAGGCCAGGAGATACATAATTTATTTTGAGAACTACAGCAACACATATCTTCACGACAACCATGTCCTTCAAGTGGAGGACATAATGTCCTCAACCACAGGATCTGACAACCCAACGTTTCACACGAAACCCCTCTGCACATCGATGCTAACAATTTGGTTAAGGTAGAAACTGAATATTAATGAGGTGAGTTGTGACACTAATGAGGCATTTAACAAGCTCTAACCTCTGTCAGTTGGCCACTCTCCGCTGCCTAGTAAGAATCTTGCCGCACTGCTCAGCAAATGCATAAATGTTGCAGTGAGGTTCAGAGATGTCGTCAAAATAGGTCTCATTGACTCCTCTCATAATTCAGCCAGCAATCTCATCATGTCACTCATACCATTATAGGATTCTGCCCTTAGTTTGTTACAAGTTAGCAAGTTACAGGTTACATTGATATGGTACAAAAATTGGCAGGTGATAGGAAAATTGGTGGGAGAGTAAATAGTGAGGAGGATAGCCTTAGACTGCAGGAGGATATTGATGGATTGGTCAGATGGGCTGAGTGACAAGTGGAATTTGTAAGAGGAGATGAAAGACAGCCAAGGCAATGGAATACATGATAAATGGTAGGACCCTGGGAAGGTCTGAGGATCAGAGGGACCTTGGTGTCCATGTCCACCAGTCCCTTAAGGTAGCAAGATAGTTAGGTAAAGTGGTTAAGTAGGCATATGGGATACTTGCCTTTATTGGCTGAGGCACAGGGTTTAAGAGCAGGAAGGTTATGCTGGAACTGTAGAAAAAGTTGGTTAGGCCACAGCTAGAGCATTGAGATCTAGAATCCACATTATAGGAGGGATATGCTTGTAGTGGTGAGGGTACAAAGGAGATTTACTACAATGCTGCCTGGTCTGGAGAGTTTTAGTTAAGAAAAGAGATCGGATAGCCTGGGGTTTGTTTACTTAGAATAGACAAGACTGAGGGGGAGACATGATTGAGGTGGAAAAATTATGAGGGGCGTAGATAGGATAGACAGGAAGGAACTTTTTCGTTTGATGGAGGGATCAATGACTAGGGGCCATAGATTTAAGGTAAAGTACAGGAAGATTACAGGGGATGTGAGGAAAACATTTTTCACCCAGAAGGTGGTGGGAATCTGGAACTCACTTTCTCTAAGGGTGATAAAGGCAGAAACTCTCATAACATTTAATACGCATTTAGAAGTACACTTGCAATGTCAAGACATACAAGACTATGGACCAAGTCTGGAAATGGGATTAGAATAGTCAGGTGGTTATTTTTGATCAGCACAGATTTGATGGACTGAAGGGCCTTTTTCTGTGCTGTAGATCTCTATGATTGTAAGGAGACCAAACAGCAAATGCTGATATTTTACTGCGGATGTAGAAACATTCAATATTTATAAGTACTTTCACTGTGGCCTAGTTCCAGAACAATTGCATTATTCAACATTATTCTTCTTAAAACGGAGGTGATGATAGCATGGGGAAGACTTGAGGTGACCTAGTGACCACAGGCTGTAATGACATTGTGACAGTTGGCATAAAAATAATGAATGGTAAATGCTGCCATTGAACATTATGACGGGGAATGCAGCCAAGAACCGTTTAAACATGAAGCATCTTTTAATAAGATGTGGATACACTGCAAATCCAGGAAGGAACCATGTTACCAAATGTAACAGCTCTATAACCAGCACCTTCAGATATAACTCACTGTTTCAACACAGAAGCTTACTATGGTTTTGCAATATCAGAACACTGATCAGCTTCATTTGTCAGCTCTCTTACTAGATCAGTTTTCAAACACATGCTAGCCAGAAGCAAGGTTGATAAATCTAGTGCATCTTCCAAATACCTTGATTAAGGGTCCATTTGCAGCTTGAGCCCACAGCAATGCAATAATGCAACTTTCTCGGTCAAATTTGCAAAAAGCAGATAGACACAAGTCAGTACAAAAACTCTGTCATAAAGACAACTGACAATTATATAAAACTGGTCACAGCCGGCGGACATTTCATAATCAAACAAAAATGACTGTCAGTTTGCGCTCAACAAGATCCACAAAACAGTGATGAGATTATGACCGAATGATTGCTCTTATTAAGTAACATTGGCTGACAGAAGAATCTGGCCTCAAGACATCAGGGAGTACTGTCCTCCTCTTCTCAAAAGACTGCTTTGTGATCTTTTGACAACCCATGAAAGGGCAGATGGGATTGGGTTTAACGGAAGAAAACACCTTCCAAAATGGGGCTTTCCAGTTCCAGCACAGATTTTACGTGCATAGTTTTAGAACTGATCTTGAACCTGCAACCTTTATGCCAATGCCATTTAGTCAACCTTTTCACAGGTCGCAGGAAGTCCTAAAGCATCTCCACAGACAGTTATTCTTTTCAACTACAAACACTGTCCTTACACAAACAAACACAGTAGCTGATTTATGCGCAGCAAGATCCCACAAACAGCACTGATTCAGAAGACCAGTCAATAAACACTGCTGTTCTTTGACAAGGGATCTTCTGCATCCACCTCAAGAGACATAGCACCTCAGTCTGGTTTGGAAGTCAGCAAAGCAAACAGATCAGCACTCCCTCACCAGTGCATTGAAGGTTAGCCCGAAATCCACTCAAGTTGTTGCTGTTCTCAATTAGCAGAAAGGTTTCCTCCGTTACCAGAGCATTTCAAAGCAATTCATCAAATGAGAAGCATTTAATGCCTTTCTGAGACATGATCAAAGGCTGCACACACTATGCAAGTTTGTTTATAACTCTTCCTTTCCAAATTTCCAAACTTCTTACAGATGATGAAATGAAGTTTCCTTTTAAGCTCTGAGGTAATGTGGGCTTGAAAGCAACCCACTTGTCAGCCTTTGGGTTACTACATTATAATATGTGTCAGGAAAAGTGCTGCAGGAAATCACAGTATCACAGTCATGTCCACCAAGTCCTTATGAGGGCGTAAGAACTTTAATCCTTCTTACCAGAAGCCAAATCACAATTTTACAAAAAGGCAGTGACCTTTCAAACATAAACACACTTCAAACATTTCTATTAATTTTACACTCTTAAGGGGCACTGGCTGATGAAAGAACCTGTTAACAATAAAGAGACCAGCAACCTAAAGGAAAGGTTTGCTAAACACTTTCACATTAAGACAGTGCTTCCTCTAAGAGCCACAGCCTCTGCCCCTAGACTAGGGTCAGTAGAAAACATGAGACACAAGATGTCCCTAGGTCAACTACACATTGTGCTGGTAACACCCCTAGAACAGCGAACATAGTGATCCCGCACAAAACCAAGTCTGTGAATGTGCTGGAGGTTAACGGCACAAGTTCCACAAGAATCAAGTTTTCAAACGCAGCCCTATCTGATTATAAAGTCAAATGTGTTAGAGTGTTTGTCATTCCCACACACTCAGAAACCATCATCTCTGCCTCCATTTACAGTTGGCAAGGATGATTCAGATGGCGTGCACACTTAAATATATGGAAATATATTTAGTTTTTCACAAAGTGCATCTAAGGAGAAATTTTTAATCCAAATGCAACATATGGCAGGGCTGTGCACATTACACACATTTTCACAGTCCACCATTCAGTAACTGTCATATTGTGACAACATATTCTGAGTTGTTATACAGATGTCAACTTTCAACAACATTCTATGCATCAATTGAAATTATTCTTCCCCTGATCAATAAACTAACTCCATATGGTGAGCAGAACCCAGCTCATCCATGTCATGCAATTCATGTTAAAAAGCTCTACATACAAACCTGTTGTATTGTCACTTAATCTACAGCAAGCACAAAAGTGATCATTTATTCAGATCCCACAGGTGTCAACTAAATTGGAGCCATTTACAGAGACACAAAGGCAATGGGTTCTCATTGAAAGATGTTTATTTCAAAACTGAATGGGATGATGTCCCCTGGGAGCTATTAACTGTTACTAAAACAGTAAATGTAACTAATCCACTCAACACCTCTGAGATACTTTACAGAAGTATACAAGCAAGGGTTCCTATGATGCAGTGATATTGTCCCACCGGCTCCAGAGGTGTGTAATGGCATCTCTGAAGAGGGTGATTCATAAACATCTACAAGGCAGAAGGCCATTCAGTCCGTCATTACAGTACTAGATTTTGAAGGGGTGTCCTATTAGCCTTATTCACCTGCACTTTCCCTCTTCAACCAGCAAATGTTTTCTTTTCAAGTATTTATCTAATTTCTTTTTGTAAGTTACTCATGCAACTGTTTCCACCATCATTTCAATCTGTGTAATCAGACTGTAGCTTGCTTTTTTATGCAACATGTTGTTTGGATATTATGTTGTTTCCAATTCGCAAAATTTTGTTTTTAATTTATTTCATTTTATTTTATTTCAGTTTACTCCTCATTTTTCATGTGTGCCATGTTCATACAACAGTCTATCTAAATTTCTGTTTTCTACAACATTAACTTTTGGATGACAGGAATCACTAATGTTCATTTATGCAAAGTAAAGAATAATTGTAATGGCTGATTTTCAGTCATTAAAACAACTTGCATTGCTATAGCATCTTCAACACATCAAAACTTCCAAAAGGTGCTTCACAGGACTGTCAACAAACACAATTTGACACAAACACATAAGGAGATATTAGGGCAAATATCTAAATACCAGTCAAAGAGGCACTTTTTCTTTCAAATCATCATTCACGGGATGTGGGCATTGCTGGCAAGGCCAGTATTTATTGCCCATCATTAAACGTTCTTTAGAAGGGAAGTGATGGAACAGCTTTCTTAAACCACTGCAGTCCTAGGGGTATAGGTACACCTACAGCTACTGCTGGGAGAGAGTTTCAGGATGGTAGTCCAGTGTGAAAAAACAGTGATATATAGCTCCAAGTCAGAATGGTGTGGAGCCTGAAGGGGAACTTGCAGGTGTGGTTTTCCCATATACCTGTTACCCTTGTCCTTCTAGATGATAGGGATCGCAGGTGTGCAATGTGCCTTGGTGACTGTAGTGCATCTTGCATCTGGTCCAGACTGTGCATCAGGGTGGAAGCTACGTGTTGTGCAAGTAATGAATGGGGTATCAACCAAGTGGGCCACTTTGTCCTGGATGGTGTCAAGCTTCTTGAGTGTTGTTAGAAATGCACTCATCCACGCACAAAGTCAACAGTACTTCATCACACTCCTGACTTGTGCCTTGTACATGGTGGACAAACTTTGGAGAGACAGGAGGTGAGTTATTCACTGGAAGGGAGGAAAGAATCCAGGCAGACAAAAGCATAGCTGCCAATGATGCAACAAACAAAATCGCAAGAAATTCAGTGGTATCATCGCATGGACAGCATTGCTAGACTGGAAATTTAAACATTGAGCCTTCAATAAATCAGAAGTGTTTAACAAATTGGAGAAGCTTTGAAATTGTTAACTAATTAAAACTGACGCAACAGCACAGTGTCAAATATTCAAAAATCCATTTGTACTGAATGGAAAATAGCCCCACACCCTTTTCAATGAATACAGATATTTTACAGTTACTTACATTTCAGGATATTTCACTCCTCGCTCAGCCCCAAGGTCTCTGTAAGCTTTGCAAGCCATAAGGATGCTTTCAGTCCCACCAGATGTCACCTGCAAAAGCAAGAATAGCTTAGATTTCCGACCTTTACATTTTTCTATCCTGAGACATCTCTCATTACCTAGGAACCTTTCACCATGCTACACAAGCCAGCACTTATTCCCCTATGATGTAAGTTCTTTGGCAAACTGAGCTGCATTGATACGTGATGAATAACAAGACCTTGGAATCACGCAACCTAAAAGGAGGCCAGTCAATCCAATGAGCCTGAGCTGGCACAAAGAGCTATCCGAATCACTCCACTCTGTTGCTATTTACAATGCATTCTCAAGTATGAGCAAGGCCTCAGTGTGGGTAGCACATCACTTTAGTCAGGAGATTGTGGATTCAAATCTCACTTGAGCCCATAATCCACGAAAACACTTCAGTGCAGTACTGAGGGAATGCTGCATCGACTGATGATTTTCTGAGCAAAATGCTAGACTGTGGTTCTGTTTACCTTTTCAGATGGGAGTAAAGATCTCGAGCACAATATTTTAAAGAAAGATGCGGCAGTTTAGAGTAGTGAATGTTAATTTATTCAATGAAACAATTTATTGCACTCCCCTTTCCAGTTATGAACTCAATCTTGTTCAAAGTTCCTTCAGTTTCCACTAATTCTCTTCTCCTCTCAGTTTCTTCAGACTGCCCTGGTGTGTCCTCCATTCCACTCTCCTTCCCTGCAATTGCCAAACCAATCTTTCCTGATTTATATGCCTCCTTCACCAGCTCGCCCACGACTCTGATCTGCTTCTATGTCAAACTGTAATCGTGCAGGTAGCCTCTGAGCACGAGTTCTGATTCATGAAGTCATTAGCCCTAGTACAACACTGTTCAGTCTGAAGAACAACAGTACAGGGGCCCCAAGAAATTATCGATAGAGAAATTATCAGAGTAGATCAGAACTTTTTTTAAAAATGAGATTGTACAGGGTGGAAAACGATCTTGTGGTTTGCTTATTGCAAATGACACTCTACACCATTGGTATGAGTGTGATTTGCCTGTCATACAAAATGGACTGTGAAGCGAAATATAAATAAAGTTGCCAAGGTTCCAGAGGACTGTAGGGTTGCTCCCTCATTACACAGAGATGACTAGTGGGGAGTTTAACCTGAAGCCAAATAGTGAAGTAAGCAACATCTCTTAAAAAACAGGAACACTCACTGAACATCAAGTGTCAACAGATAAACCCAGAATTTCCTTGTGAACAGCTGATAGAAACTGAAGATTTGGCCTAAAATCAGGAAAGCATTTTAAGCTGGTAAACAGAATAAGTAGTTTCTGAAGTGCTCGAAATAATTGCAGCATGTAAGTCATCCTTAGCTGTGCCTTTGAAACTTTTACAACAGTTCACTTCGGTACTTCACTGGCTAGAAAGTCCCAGAAGGTCCCAGAAATGCTTCTGGCAAATTAAAGTTCTTTCTTTCTACGTCTAGATACAGGGGATGGTCTCAGAATAAAGGAGCAGGTCACTTAGGACTATGACAAGAAGGAATTTCTTCACACAGGGATGAACCTATGAATTTATTAAATCCAGGGAAGCTCAGTTAGTGAGCATGTTCAAGACAGGGGGCAACAGATTTTGAAATATTAAAGATATCAAATCAAAAATGCTGTTGAGATGGAAGATCAGGCATGATCTAGTTGTTTGGCAGAGCAGGCTCATGGGGCCAAATGGCCTACTCCTGCTCCATTTCCTTTGTTCCTTTTAGTAAATCAAGCCAAAGCACAATTCGATTATAGAAATGTCCCACAGATATAAAGTCAGAATCTGCCAGCAAGGGTTATGGGGGACAGTGAAAGGTCATCAAGGGTAGATGTGTAACATGGAATAATCTGATCTGCCATGAGCTTTCTCAAAGGTGGAACAGGCTCAAGAGGTTAACTGGCTTAGTCCTGATCCTAGTTCATACGGTCATATGTTTTAATCATGATAAGTGCTGTCTCATATTTTATAAAATCAATACACCAGCATTCAGAGCTTAATAATCATCACTGGCTGAATAGTGTAAGGTTCCTTTGACACTTTCCACACGTTGTACAATGCAATTTCCCATGAAAACTGTTGGGGATGCTAAAATTTAAGTATCACACTCTCCTGCTCCATTAATCAGCACAGAAACCCTAAGACTCACCCCAAACAGACTGACACAACAGTAATCTGCACCATGAACAATTCAGATTCTTTTTAAAAAAGTTTGAAAATAACAGCTGATTAATTCTCAGGATATGGGCATCACTGGCCTGACCATCTTGTTTCTGCAAATTGGTGAGTTTTGGGCCTTTTTCTTAAACTCCTTGTATGTTTCTCAGTGGTTGAACAGGCCATTTTAGAGGGTAGCTTAGCGCTAACAAGCATAGGGCTGGAGTCACATATACAACCAGACTGGATTAGGACAGCAGATTTCCTTGCATAGAGAACACCAGTGAACCAATTGGGTTTTAACAATAATCACTGTAGTGACTAGATTTTGTTTAAAGATTTACTTACTTTCTTAAATAAATTGAATTTAGGCTATCGCATTATTGATTATTGTCATTCTTGCAGACTGATCTAGCCATCCCGAGGTTATGTATATAAAACCTCAGGAAGGAGAGTTGAGAAACTGAGCTCAGTAAATGTGGTCAATTGTGACGCAGATGGAAAATGTGACCACTGCCAGCTTTTTGGAAAATCCCAAGGGGTTCACCAATGTTCTTCCAAAGGTTGGAACCAGTGACTCTCATTTGGTCGAGCCTACAAGAACACAAGTGTACATTTATATAGCAGCTTAACAGAGTAAAACATCCCAAGGTTGCAATCACCAAACAAAATTTCACACCAAGCCACAGAGATTTTAGGAAGGTGAATCAAAAGTTTGATTATGAAGGTAGGCTTCAAGGAAGGGCGCAAGAGAGAGGTGGAAAGCTTCAGGAAGGTATTGCAGAGTGTAGCATGTAGAGGGCATACCCAGTGGTGGAGCAATGAAAATTAGAGATGTGAAAGAGGCCAAGTTACAGAACCAAAATGATTCCTAACACTTCATGAAGTCATTCAATTTTATAGCGAACAGAATGCTTTAGATGGTATTTCACTATCACCTTCACTTATTGAGGAAAGATAATAAACACACACATTCTGAGAACAAGTTGTGATGTGCAACGCCCTAAAAGGATGTTAGAAGCAGATTCAGTCGTAACTTTCAAAGGGGAACTATATGCTCAAAAACAGAAAAACTAAAATCTGCAGGGTGACGGGAAAAGAATGATTTGGAGTAAGTAAAAGGATAGCTCTTCAAAAAACCACAAAAGGTACAGTGGGATGAATGCTGCATCACATACTGTCGAAAAATTCTACAAAGCTCAGTGATCTGCTGTTCAGTTCTAGCACTTATCTTTTTACTCATTCAAAGGATGTAAACATTGCAGCCAAGGGAACTTGACATCTTAGAAAGCCAGAATCTGTTAGTTCGTTATTCAATAGAATGATATAACACCAATACTAGCATTATTATATCCAATAATCTTTTAGCCTTCACCAGTCACCTGGTCCCCATTTAGTTGAACTAAGACATAAAGGCAATAGCGAACGGTTCAAAGCATCAATTTCAAACAACAGCTGCACAATGACCAATTCTACATTCATTGCACAACAACCCAGACCTTAGTCACCATAGTGAATTAAACACAGCCTTTCTCATTCAAGCAGCAATGATAGGCTTTGTCTTACTCTTTAGTTTAGAGATTACACAATGTATGCAATACAGTAGAGGGATGTGTAGGCAAATTTGAATAGATTCAAAAACAGATATTGCTGGGACAAATACAGCTGGTCTGACAGCACTTATGTAGAGAAAACAGAGTTAACATTTAGAATCCAATGACCCTTCTTAGAGTCAAAGTCATACAGCATGGAAACAGACCCTTTGGTCCAACTTGTCTGCACTGTCCATCCCAATCTGACCTAGTCACATTTGGTTCAAATCCCTCTAAACCTTTTTTAATCATACAACATTTAAAAGGCATCTGGATGGGTGTAACATACATTTGGAAAAGCAAGGACTGATTAGGGATAGTTAATATTTGTGTAGGGGAAATCATGTCTCACTAGCTTGACTGAGTTTTCTAAAGAAGTGACAAAGAAGATTGATGGATTGATGAAGGCAGAACAGTAGATGCTGTCTATATGGACTTCAGCTCAGCTTTTGACAAGGTTCCACATAGTAGACTAGTTAGTAAGTTTAAATCACATGGCATCCATGGGGACCTCACCAACTGCATACAAAATTGGCTCGAAAGTACTTCCTCTGGCAACTCATTCCAAGAAGCACCACCCTCTGCTTGAAAAAGTTATTCCTCAGTTCCTTTCTAAATCTTTCCCCTCTCACCTTAAACCCACGCTCTCTTGTTTTGGGGTTTCCCATCTTGGAAAAAAGACCTCAGCTTTTCACAATATCCATGCCCCTCATGATTTTATAAATCACTATAAAGGTCACCCCTCAGCCTCCGATGCTCGAGGGAAGACAGTCCTGGCCTATTCAGCCTCTCCCTGTAGCTCAAACCCTCCAGACCCCACACTATCCTTGTAAATCTTTTCTGCACACTCTCAAGTTTAACAACATCCTTTCTATAGAAGGGTAACCTTCTATATTGTATTCTAACACCAGTATTCTAAAAGTGGCCTTACCAATGTCTTGTACAGATGCAACATGATGTCCCAACTCCTATACTCAATGTTCTGACCAATGAGGGCAAGTGTGCCAAATGTCTCCTTCAGCACCCTGTCTACCTGCGACTCCACTTTCAAGGAACTATGCACCTGCACCCCTAGGTTTCTTTATTTAGGCAACACTCCTGAAGGCCCTACCATTACTGTATAAGTCCTGCCCTGGTTTGCCATACCAAAATGCAATGTCTAAATTGTCTAAATTAACTCCATCTGCCACTCCTCAGCCAATTGGCCCATCCGATCAAGATTCCTTTATACTCTGAGATAACCTTTTCCACTATCCACTACACCATCTAGTTTGGTGTC